AAATTTTTCAAGAAAATGAGGAGGGGGGGGAGGGGTGCAATTAAATTTGAAGGAATTTGCTTATTAATAAGCATGGTATCCATTTGGTTGTAATTGCGACTAAATCATGGTCACTGGTGTGAAATAGTCTGGATTTATCTTGTCTTCTGTGTGCTGTATGCAAATCAGTCTTTACTGATTGCAGAGATAAATTGACAATGTATAATTACATCAGCTTTCTTGATGTGGTTAAATACATTTAAGCAAGGTTAACAGCGAATGTACTATGCAGGCCACATCCACTGATGGGAGTCTGTGGTGTCATATCGATTAAAGGGGGTTGTTTCGCGCCTTGTGATCAGTGCTTCGGTCTGGGTATTCATACTGCCATTGTATGCTTTGCCTAGCTGCAGCAAGTTTAGCGCTTAGATACCTTTTCCCTACCCACCCACCCATGTTTATTCTAGGGGATTTTATCTGGTAGTAGGTCATTTTATTTTATATAATTTTTAATCTCACATAAAATAGGATGTATAGACCACTATGCATTACATTTTGTTTCCACTGACTTGTCGATGTGACTGGTGCCGGAGGTATGCCTTGGCAGGATGTCCAGAATTGTCATGGCCAGAATTGTCTCCTTTTGCTGCTAATATTACTGATTGTTGCTCTCGTTGCTGTGCAGCTGCTATGGCAATACTTCGTGCCATCAAATCTAGTTACAGCCTTGGACCACAAACGGCACCTGGCTCCAAACACAAATATTAATTCTCTGCCGTTAAACATGGTTACAATCGCCCAGGTCAAATGGAAACCTGATTTTAGAGTTATAAATGAAAATACCCCTCTTTTATTTATAATTTTCTGCTAATATATATTTTTGGTCGACGTTAATATCTTGTCAGCTCCATATTCTTATTTAATTAATAATTAACATTATAACGCCTGGGTATCCCCATTTGTCGAGTAAAAATGAAAATTGGGGGGGGTCAAAGAAAAATATTCTAATATGTAGGGGGGTCATCATTAAATTTCTGCTCTTTTAAGGGGGGGGCTTTCAATTTTAAAAATTTAGGAAAGAAAAAATTCCCCTCCCCTTCCATAAATAATGACCGGTCCCTAAGTCATAACACATTTCAATTTTCACTCTTGGCCCAGCGAAATAACCTCTTCCATTTCAGACTCATTCACTAAAATTTTTATCCAGAATACGAAAGCTTTATAGATGCTGCGGCTTTATTTATATACACTTACTTGGTATTGAATGTTAAATGTTGTGCAACATTTCGACACACGCTGAGTCTTGTGCAACGGCAACGTTGCATACAGTCGGGCTGATTATGTTATTTCGTCAAAATGTTTCTGTTTCTAGTTTACATAGCACATACATGTTAATGGGGCAAAAACAGCTTAATTCAAAAAGTATATTGTGGGCACAATAAACGTGTAAAACAAAATTATGTAAACTATACAAAAGCAATTACGTAACAAATACAAGTATATAACGGATTTGAAAAAAATATGTCGAGCACAAGTAAGATTAAAGACTATAAAGTACTGTTTTATACAACATATAGGCAAAACAAAAGTTAAATGAGAATAAAATATATCTTAAGTTTCTATATATCTTAATTGTTTTATGCTACTACGCAAATGAAATCTCGGCAATATTATCAAATGCAGTGGAATTTTTATCTGACCTTAACTTCTGTGACAGATTCCCTCGTCTTTAGGTTCTTCGTCTTGGACGCAACTCTTCCTTTAAATTATTACCACGTACAGTCGAATTAGGCAAAGATAGGCGACTTGAATTTACTTTACATTTTGCGAGGCAAAACAACAGCGTCAACACCTCGAATGAAAAACAGCTTTGTAAACCTATTAATAATGGTGTAGCTACTTTACATGAAAATAGCTCGAGTGACCCCACTGTGTCTGCAATTTAAAAAATTTAGAAGAAAAGTGAACACGAAGTTCAGTCCAACTTTACCGCGTTTTTTCTGTACCTCATTTTGTGTCATTTCGGAGATTTCTAGCCGGAAATAAAGCATTGATTTATATTACAGTATAAACGAAAGTGTAAAATGAACGCGATTGCTCTTTTATAGCAAATCACACTTGCAAACAATCCCCCGCGCCATTATTACACAAAACACAAAACTGGGTGGGACACTAGACGAGGCATTGTAATCTTAATTCAGTTCAAAAAAGGAAACGCGGCTATTGGGGGGCAAATTCAAGTCCCGGATGTGTATTCATGTTTCCACTGGTGAAGAGTTTCAAATCAGCCAATGAGAGCACGATTTTATATCGGGCCATATACCTGGGACTTGAATTTGCCCCCCATTAGCTGCGTTCCCAATTTTTAACCTCGATGCCTCCTCCAGTGTTATTTATAATCTCTATATATATGATAACAACGTGGCAGTAAGCAAAATAAAACTACAATTGCTGTCGCAGTTATCGCAAGAGCGAACAATCCATAATTCAGGTCACTGTAGGAAATAGTGGTTGTAGACTGACGACTCTTGATAATCTTCAAGGCTGAATTAACATTGCATTCTCCATGTAGAGATTATTAGCACGTCATGCAGTCATCAAAACAAAACTACCTTTAAAGTTTGCTGTCTCACCTCTCACGAGAACGCGCGAGACAAAATTTCCACACTTAGTCTGTGCCTGTCTTTAATCTTTATCTAAAAATTGTGCCTGCCTTTATCTGAAAATTTCAAGGCCAATAGAATGTCTATTACCAAAACAACTCAGATTTTCTACAATTTTCTGTTTCACTGTACGAAATTGTGACTGACTAGTTTTTTTATCACAGTTACTAGTACTGGTTTTTACACTCATTCGTTCAAAGCACATTTTCGCTATTTTATATCGAATAGGAGATAAAGATAAAAGGCAAAAGAAACGAAATACGAGTATGGTGATGAAAGAAGTGGCATACAATTAAGAAAGCATATATGGTGGCGGCAGTGGCGGTGTAAACATGTGCATACAGGGTCTTAGCTACATTATAACAAAGACGTGTTGTGTTGGCCGTGTTACCGCGACCAAAAATGGAAAACACAGTGGGTTGGGATAAAAACACGGATCAGGAATTACGGAATTGCGGAATTCCGGAAGCGGAAAAAGGAATAAAACGCGGAAAAGGGGATAAACAGACTGTTTTAAAATCTAGTTTGTTGAAATTAGTAAAAGTGATCGGTGATGTTTTTTATGTTTAGATACATGTAATGGGAACCGCATGATGTTAAAACGGCTAAATGCTCCAAGAGTTGCTAAAATCACTTATTTTAATGTCAGTGCGAAATAGTACGATAGTAAGCTCGCCTTTATTTGGTAATTGGCATGTACTGTACACACCTGGAAATTTGGAAACACGCCGAAGATCTAAAGCTAAGACCGTATATGCACACTGAAAAACTTACTAATGAGCTGGTAATACGTATCTTACCCTCCATCCCGATCCCAATCATAACATTCGACAAGAATTGACCTGCAAAATAAACATATCGTTCAGAACAATGAAATATTCGTCGTCGCTAGAATGACTCGAACGTCATCTTAAGGGAATGGTCTAACCCCCACGAGGCAATGAACGTTTCGTTGCTCTCTTCAAAAATATTTCAAAATGTAATTATATTTTAAAAATATTTTTCATATCTGAGGATGATATGCAAGAGAAAGATGTGTTTGGCTTTGGAAATTAATTGGTGCATGTAAGTGAAAAATATACCTATCATAATCGCCATTACATAACGCTCTTGATAACACAGAAAATGACTTCCACGTTGGATTTAAGGTATTCTTTATAACTTCAGTTCTATGTACAGCTGTAAAACTGAAAGAAATAAACAAGTAAATAATTTTAACTTGCGCAATAGAAAGGTCATCTTATAGTGAATCTTGCTACTCATGTCAGTAAGGGCCATACTATACTGGCGGCTAGCTCTATGGGTTAAAAATTCGTCTCCATAGAAATCAGTGAGCAAGCTCTAGTCCCTACTGGACCAGTACTAGTGGAAACCTTGACTATAAAATATTTGTATTTATACTGGATAAGTGGATAGTTCTATTAGTAAAAGCCATCCTTTCTTGACGAGTTGAGAAAACTCTCATGCAAACTCTCGCTTCTCAACTCTCATCAACTCTCATTCTTAAACAGTTCTCTCTAGAGATGAACTAAGACCGACGTGAGGATATCGGAAAAAGATCTGCAGTGTCTGGTAGAGTCCAACTGGAAGCAATCTTCTCATGCGCATGAGACTAATGTGAAATTATTCGACAACTGAAAGAACCAAGACCTCAGTATATCAGAAGTGAAACAATACCCCGAGCCGGTTTTTTTTTACAAATACACGCAAAATGATTACCTCGAATCTTCATTACATCGATAAAACACCAAGAATGGATCTGATTTTCCAAAGAAATCTTTTTTATCCAGTTTGTTCGCTTTGAAGTGTAGCGTAACGACATCCTATAGCAAAAAGAGTAATCTTTTCTTAATAAGGAATATCAAAGTCAGTGATTAAAGTAGAATAGTTACACTCAGTAAATGCATGATAATTATTACCCTGCAATCGCTCACTTCTTCAACCGTAACTGCAAACATGAAAGAATATCTTAACTTCATGAAAGAATATGTACAGAGATAAAAAGCATATCGAGTATTTGTATAATAAGCTTTATACTCATGGGCAGCACTTAAACATCTATGTTTAAACCCTGGTCAACGAGAACGAAAGTTTGCAGATGTCCAGTAAGGGTCATCCCTAATGAAGGTATATAATATCTACTTACGAATTATCGATCCACATTTTGGCATTTCTTTATTTCTAGAGATAATGTATTTGAAAAAATGCTTTTCATTCATGGTACTGTCATGAGAGCGACCAGAAACCTACTAGACTATTTCATACATGTAGAGACGAAGAACAGTTTATAATACTTACTCAAGCTTTGTATCAAAATGGCCGCTATGTTCACCGATAATTGATCCCAATGTTGTGTCTAATCTACCGATAAAATCCTTGAAAAAATATAAAAAAATGGTGTGATCATATTCTCTCTATATAACACCACCAACATTTCTATATACATGTATACCTGCTTTCCATTTACTATACATCCTAATGATTTGCTCAGCCTGATCGAACCGAATATACATCCTAATGATCAGCTCAACCTTATCGAACCGAAGGCTTAGGGTGCTCTGGCTGCCACCATACGCCTCATATCGGATCATAGCTACGATGGACAGCTCAGTTTGGCGCCTAACCTAACCTAACCCACCCTGTAACCATTTCCTGTGGGAGGAAACTGGGCAACCAGGAGAGAACCCATGACTTTCAGTACAGTGTTGAATAACATTTTTCACAAAGCATGAATCGATCCCACGATATTAGAGGTGAATGGCGCATTTTCTGACAATTAAGTGTACCATCGAAGCCTCTTAGTTTTCAATAAATATCCGAAGCCTGTGTTCAAACTAATTATAATCAAGTATTCATTCTTGGCAAATGGTCTACAATTGAATGCTAAACTTACGTGATCTGACAAACTTGCTGAACTTGAATCTACGTCATATCTGATAAATAGGGCAGAAAATGATTTACAATTTTGAACATAATATTAATGTACTACAATAATAGTTTGTTGTAGTCTACTGCAAAGCATCTTGAAGCCTTGAAGGAACTCGTAACTAGACTCTAAGCATTAAATCAATTTGGGGAAACGTAACGTACAGCAGCAAAGTATACGTACACTTGAAATCTGAGATGCTGTATTTCTTCAAAGAAATAGTTCATGACAAACTTCTTGACAAAAATTGGATTTAATGTGTTCATTATCTTCTCTGTTCGACCATGCTGTAGGAAGTATGAAAAGGAACTATCACAGCCTCGCAAGCCAGGCTCTGTGAGATGAAGAGTCTGACTTGCGATGCTACATCAAATTACGAAATGGTACAAGGGGCTACAGTATAAATCAACATTCCTCGTAGTTAAGAGCTGAATCGCGAAAGGATGCAGCTTTAACGCAACCAAAAGCTTGGGAGGAAAACCGAAGTGCCCAGAGGAAAACCTTGACTGAAGCACAAGAAAAAAATACCAACCAAGACTCTACTTTACACTGCACATGCTTTTCAAGCACAAAAAGCCAGTGAAGGGTATAGCCACACATCTAAGTATTACTAACATCCTATCATTCAACTATAAAGCGGTAAGGGGGAGCCACGTTTTCATGCACATAAAGCCAGATGCATATATGGTATGGTACTATGGTATGGTATGATATATGATATAGTCTCACCCATGCATCTAAGTAGCAACACCCCAGCCTAGACCTAGGGCCTTCTATTCATATTTCAGCGCTTTCTCACATGAGAAGATTGGAACCTAGGTAATGCCGATATGTATATTTTAATAAACCCAAATCCACAAGCCCTTAGGTCTAGGTTGATAACACCCTAACCGTCGACCTACAGTAAAGTTTGTAGCCTCAACTCAGTAGTAGTGGCCTCAACTCAAGGGGAAGCACGCTAATAACCACGTGCGAAGGCCGTGCTTCCCCTCATAGAATAAAGATCCACATAGAAGGGCCACTTACGTCGGAAGCTTTGAAGTTTCTGTCCTCGCGCATGTCGCATTACGCATGTTGGCCGCCATTTTCCTAGCCAGTCAATGACATTTTCTGGCTAATAAACACGCTATACTGGCTGGCTGCTCCGCCTTCTGGCCAGTAAACTGCATATTTTTGCATAAAAAACGAGGACACGTTGCACCGCTGAGTGGCCCTTCTGTTACTGATCTTTATTCTGTGCTTCCCCTAAAGACCCGCACAGACGGGCAATTTCAACAGGGAAAACTTGTTGACCGTACACACGAGAAAGGAAACTTGTCAAGGAAAACAAGCCCATCTGTACGAGGCTTACTACGTTCCAGGTTCAGGCAGAATTTACGTGACTGTGTTCACACACTTAACTGTCACAGTTTGTTTGCTAGCCTGCGTGGCAGGCCCTCATATTTATGGGGGGCCTGATTTGCAGCGGGGCCTGCTACAAAGCATATTTCAAATAGAGCAAAGAAATTTAAACCAGAAGCATTCGAATGCATTGTTTTGATACCCGAGATGCTTGGGTTGCAAGCGGTACAAAAAAGTAACGGCGTTTGTGTTGACACGAAGCCGCCAAGGGCTCCGTTTTCATCTCGCTCCGTTTAGAAACCGTGCTCAAATTGTTTCCGCAAAAGAGACGTTTTCAAACAATTTCGCTTCGGCGTACTGTAGTGTGAAGGCGACGGCTAATAGACCTTATGCATAATGACGTCACAAGGCTTGATGCCCGTGAGGAATGCTGGTGTTAGTAGTCATTGCCCGGGAAAATTTCGATAGTGGCTATTTTGAATTGTTTAATTTTCCCGGGCGATGACTACTAAGACCAGCATTCCTCGCGGGCATCAAGCCTTGTGACGTCATGCATACAGTAAGGTCTACTGTGACTTTTCTGCACCGCTTTCAAACCACGCCGGGGTTGTAGGAACGTACTGTATATACCTAGTCTTAAATGTTTATTAATTCACTACCTCTCTCCATTCGTTGCCATTACTTGCTTTTATAAAAAGGACCACAACTGGAAAATAGAATTAAACATCTGACTTAGATGTGTCTTAAATGAACGCGTATATTAGTACACGCGTAAAAATCATCATGTTGATGCAAGTTGTTCAAAACAGGAGCGAACAATGTTGTGCTGCACCCCGTGAACAATATTGTTAACAAGTTGTTGAACCATCAATATTGTTGCAACTTGTTGACGTATCATGTTAACAAGTTGCAACAGTACTGATGGTTGAACAACTTGTTAACAATATTATTGTTCACCGGGTGCAGCACAACATTGTTCACTCCTGTTTTGAACAACGCCGAACAACATGATCAATTTTTACCCGTGTACGTCACCTTGTGCCAAACTCCCCGGCAGTGGCATAACACTCATTGGGTAGGGTTAGTTCAAAAACTAAGGGCCCTCATCAGCCACGGCCTATCGCCCAGAAAATTAAAAAACGTAAAAAATGCAGGTTAAGAATCAATGGGAAAATGCAAAATTAATAATGCTAAATAATAAAGCCTCCATCAACAACGGTAGCTGATTTTTTATGCCATCTCAAATAAAACAAAAGTTATTCTTATTAGTTCTTACATGCGTTGGAGACTGTTATTGTTATAGACACAGAATTTTCCAGAACATTCTGTAAATATTCGATATAAATATAATATGTCAGACTCAGTCAAACACTGACAACGGTCAACAGGGGCACCCACACCAAATATGCCTTAACGAGTAACGGTCCCTTCTTCCTCCGTTAGGGAAGCCTCACATATCGATTTTGTCCATGAGAAACGTCATAAGTTCGTTTCTCTGGAGCCCCCCCCCCCACCTACCCTTAGAAACGTCACACATTGTTATCGATATTTTGTAATAATTTTCTACTATTTTTTTCGGTCGGCTATTGGCGATGCTTCCGCGAGGAATATGTCATCTTCTGCTGACATACTCTTTATTTGTTAATATATATGAACTTAAAAATTTCCAACGTTTCTCAAAACAACTTTTTTTGCATGAAATATTGATAATTTTAGTGCGTTTTTCTTGAAATTTGAGTGTTTTCAATGCAAGGAAGGCGTAATAATATAAATGTATAGGTATAGAAAAGGCATGATATTACGAATGTATAGACTGGTTTTTGTATCAAATTGTTTTCTTTTTTATATTCTGCAAAGATAAAAACTATCGAATTTTTCCATGATGTTTACAAAGAATCGTCACAGCTGCCAACCCCCCACCCCCAAACGAACATACGACGTTTCTCGTGGAAAAAATCGATATGTGAGGCTTCCCTTAATACGCCACTGGCACAAGATCCTTGGGGGTATGGGAGGATCGATGCTCCCACAGAAAACGAAACACTGAAACGATGCACTTTGGGAGTCGATTTTACAGAATTCTGATGGTGAAAAAACATATATTAGAATAGAAAAGTTTTTGCTCAAATGCTCAAACTGGACTACTACAGTAGGTTTTCTTGTATTTACTCAACACGATTTGAATGTACTTTTGCCCAACAAATTATTGAATATATGATAAATTAGCTAGCCCTATGAAGTCCACAGCTCTTCACAAACATTAGGGGTGTCAACCCCCTCCCCCCCAAAAAAACACCCCCGTGGATTTATGCCCCCTGCTAAATGTCTGTGAAAATGCAGTTTTAATTCCTTCTGCAGAGCTCTCGTGCAATATTTATGTGAATGTTGCCTTGTATAAATCAATGCAATTAATTTTAATGAAAAACGTCTAATTTCATTAGCTTGATGGTTAACCACAACATGAAAAGTTAATGAGATGTAATTAATTTAAGATTTCAGAGATGCATTTGTGAAATATGGAATTTGATAAAAGACTACAACAATTCTATAATCTGTAACTCAATTATAGTGCAGATAATTAAGTAATAACAAATCACTAGTTGCTGATTAAAGGGCTGAATCGATTAAATCATATGACTGGAAAATTGACGGTGTTATTTTTTTGTCTAATGTGGAAGATCATTGAGAACTGTAGAGTAACTTCTTTGATATATGTTTGTTTTCTTGCTTCGTTCTGAAGATACTTCATTTTGTATGATAATCAAAGGACCAACTTCCTACGTCACATATGCATAATGATTCAGCCCTAAAAGTTGTATATCTTTACACCCGTTTTCAAAATTACGCGACCTCCCTGAAAAATACTCTTACTTCAAAGTCAGTTTTATGTCACAAAAACTGCTAAAAATAGCAAACGTAAACAAACTGTCAAAAGACATTTTAAACCGTATTTAATACCAAAACTGAACAAAAATGAGTTAGATAACTTAGATATACAAACTAAAGCACAATACAAACCATCACAACAGAAATATTTGCCGTGAATAACTTTTAAAGTTTAAAAGATAACAATTTATCCTGGAATTTAGCTGTAAGTAAAAACACGCGCGCTAGACTATAACGGTGATGTTATGATTTTATTTGTGCTTAAATTTTGCAATAATTTTCACTAAAATATCTTGAAAATCATTCTAAGCCTGTTTTTATAAAACATACAAAGCATAAACATCGACAAGGAACCGCAAAACTCAAAGTTTAAACTTCGTGACCGAATGACATAAAACTGACATGTCAACTCGAGCATTTTCGTCCTTGGTCGCGTAATTTTGAAAACGGGTGTAATACGACTAAACACAATCAGTAGAAAACCTACATGGGTTTTGCTGTGGACAAATCACATGCTCATCATTCGTATTGAGCGAATTTATTTGATAGTGACAAATTTACATAATATTTTAGAGTAACTCATTACATTATGCATGTGTGTCACAAAAACTGAGTCAATGTTATTTGGAACTGCTGCTAGATTGAAAAACGTAGATCGTTTCCAAATTCAGATTCACGCGGGCACACCATTCAGCGCGTTTTTGAATTTAGATACCTAGGTATTATATTTGATGAGCATATATTAGTTGGAATGCTCATGTGAAATATGTTCTTGGGAAAGCAGGAAAAAGGATCGGGATGCTGGGACATATTAGGAAGAATGTAATTGTGCATTGTACGAATACAATATATGTGTCATTCATCCGCCCAGACGCCCAGTTTTGGATTACTGCGATTCCGTGTATAACCTGTTGTGGCGACTGTCAACACCAACTCTCTTGAAAAGCTTCAAAGACGGGCGACGTGTAAATCGAAAGACAGTGACAGTGCGATGGACTCTCCAGGGTGTTAGCCAGAAAAAAAAGTTTTGTCCGTTAAACGTAAATTGGGAAAGTTTTTCCGACCGATCAAAGGAATAAATAGTGTTTTTTTCCAACGTGTTTCTCCTTTGATGCAAACAACGGTAGCTTGGTTTTGTACATTTCATTTCCAGTGAATGAACACTGAAAAATGCACTCGATGGCACTTCGTTTTGTATAATTCATTTCCGGTGAATGAACATGGATACACACCGATTACACTTTGTTTTGTACATTTCATTTCAGTGAATACGCACCCAATATGATATATTTTGAGAAAATAGTTAATGGGAAAAAGTAAATAAAACGTTCTTTGATATAATAATATAAAATCAAACGCAACGCACTTTCTCATCAGAAAAACGTGAAAATCTTCCAGTAGACCCAGTTGGGAAAGCCCCTTAGCTACTTCAATTGGGAAGAGTCCATCAAACGGACAGTATATGGGCTAGCTAACACCCTGCTCTCTGAAGTGGGGAACTCTAATAACAGTAGCAATTACTTTAATTTTAATAAGAATATATCTCAACGTGCAACCAGACAAAGTGAACATCTTCACCTGCCTAGAGTTAGAACACAGAATCTGCAAAACGAAGTTTCTACTATAATGGCTGTAAAATATATAATTTACTTAAACCACAGTATACTACACAAAAGTCCATCTACATTGTAGTATTCTGTGCTTAAACAGTGCCAATGACTTTCTAATTTAGTATATAATTTTTAGCTTTAAACTTTTAGCTTGTATTGAACTTGAATTTAAATTATAGCATTACTCTTAGATTTATAAATTCTTAAACATATGTATTATTTTTACTTGTGTATCAGAGCTCCTCCTATTGATAGCAGTGACTTTCTGTCGCTGACAGGAATACTCTGTTTAAATAAAGGTGTAATTACTACTATAGTATATACACAGAGAATTGGTCCTTTGCATATGATACAAAGTGAAATACTGTATCTTCAAAACAAAGCAAGAAAACAAAAATATATCAAAAAAGTTACTCAATATTGATCTTTCAAATTAGACTAAAAAATAACACTATCAATTTTCAAGTCATATGCCCTTCAAATAACTAATCAAGTTCAACAAATTCAATGATTTCAAGCAATTAGTACCAATTACATGTATAAGCATACTTGTAGAGACTTTTCTACAGTATATATAAAAAAACTACACAGTCACAGTTCTAAAATGTCCACTAAACCGAAAATTCTGCAAAGTCTTTGACAACTTTATGTTAGTGTGAGTAGTTTGAGGTCTTCTGCTATCTCTATCACAAAGTTAATCTGAAAAGTAAATTTTTGAATACAGCAGGGCTGTTTTTTAAAAGCACTTTAAAAATAACTTGCACACAAAAATGGTAGGTTTGACATGCAGTTTGACTTCACAGTGTGCAAATTCAGAAGGTGGTTCATGAACTATCAAAGTACCAGACAATTTCATTTACCGGTACATTAAGTCCAATACGCGACCTCTAAAAACTTGCACTTTTTTGCCATAGTAGCCTTGAATACATAATTTTTAAACTTATTGTAAAGAGTTATAAACAAAATCATGCATGAAATCAATCATGCATACAATCAATTGTGCATGTGATAAATTATCGCACATAAAATTTTTTTCGCTGTCTAACACCTGAGATGCAGGGCCAATTTCCAATTGCAATGATTCGCTTGTCCAAAGTTCAATGATTTCCATCAGGAGAATTTTAATCCAATTGGAATTTAGGCTAATTTCCGATAGAAATTCCTACTGGAATTCCAGTTGGATTTTTTGTAAGGAATTTTACTTGTCATGGAGAAGCTTGCACATTAATGGGTTTTAACCAAACTGTCTGCCAATTTGTCTAATTGTTAACCCATTAACCCACTAAACTGCAGACTTCCACATAAACAAAATAAGTAGGGCGCACTGGGGCGCATTGTGGTTCAGTGCATGGGTTAACTGGAGATCAACATTGTCAGATTTTTTGGTTAACCCATTAAGCTGCAAAACTTCCCCATTGACAAGTAAAAATCGTCTGGCGTTAGACAAGTAAAAAATAAGTAGGGTGCACTGGGGCACATTGCGGCTCAATGGGTTAACTTAAAAGCTGCAATGCACTCAAATATACCAGCTAGACTTTACTCCTTAACTGCCTAATGGCAGACAATTTTAATGGGTAATACATTAATAATGGTTAAAGTTGTCTGCACATACAGCTGTCCAAATGAAGCCAGGAGATTATTAAGGTGGCTGAAAAATGCAAGGTCATAAGGTGGCTATATTACCAACAGCAAAATATTGAGGACTATATAAGCTAGGTATGCTTGTACAATATTATTAATTCTTACTTGGATCTGACTTGGAAAAAACATCCATGTCTGCCAAATTTCTGCAATTGAAATCAAAACACATTAGGAGCACCGAGTCATAGTCAGGGATGACTATATTTGATAAGGAAAATGGAATGCTCTCCTTAGAACTGATAAGCTACTCAGTATAAATAAATTATGTTCAGTATGTGCTTCCTGCTGTATTATTAACCCATTGAGTTTTAATGTGCTCAAATGTGCCCAACTCTATCAGGGTTCGTAGTCTCCAAGACCAAAAAAATTCAAAGACTTTCAAAGATTTTTTCTGCCTATTGCAACGACTTTTCAAAGACCTTTGATAGCAATCAGGTGTCCAAAAATTGCGACGTATTTATAAGCACCATTTTTACCAGGTAATTAGTCCCATCAAATTCCATCCTAAAATGCACTTTTTCGTCAATATTTGCAAAAATCTTGCTTCAATCAATCTATTTTATTAGCTAGGAAATCGTATAATCAAATAATCACTAAAGAATTTAAAGACTTTTAAAGACTTTCTTTGCTTTTTCACACACTTCAAAGACTTTTCAAAGACCTTAAAGACCTGCATTCAAATTTAAAGACTTTCAAGGATTTCAAAGACCGCTACAAACCCCGTTTATTATTAATTTACTTTGTCTAATGCCAGACAATTTTACTTGTCAAGGAGAGTCTTCTGCACCAATGGGCCGGGTTAACAGAGTGTCAGAGCCTGAAATAATGTTTAGAATTTGTTTGGGAACTCTCAAGAAGGTTGATTGCTATTTTTTGCCCTAACAAAATGTCTGACCAATTTAGCATTTGGTTGGAAAAGCTGTGATTTTCAGACATGTTGCCATTATTAAAAGTTATTTTTTGTGTAATAAGTTGCCTCATATTCTAAATCCAAAGCATACTAGGCCATACAATCATGTGTTTTTTCATTTGTAAACTGAAAACAACATTCCTATAATTCCCCCCCCCCCCCCCCCCCGTTTATATCGTGTTTAAAAATTAATGGCGGAATAATGGCTTTGATTGCTTTTGACGTAACTATTGCAAATTTCCGCTGTGAGAGAGGAACACAAAATAATGGAACATAAAATTATCATGACTAGCTGCATGGCTATATATAAATGACAGTTCTTGATAAAAATTCTAAAGTAAATTGCTACTTTCGTGTTGCTTTTCTCCAATTAGAAGTATCAATGAAATTTTGCCCAAAATTTGTACTTCCCAATTTCAATTTCAATTCGCGAAGAAATTTTATGTTTATTTTTAATATGTTTTCGAATAGATATTTTGCACAATTTTGACACAGCAGGAATTGATAATACAAGCTAGCTCACACGCTTGGACATCGAGTTTCAAATGACTTTTAAGCAATTTCCTGGCACAAAAATTGGAATACTAATTCAAAGTAAAATACAAACTGGACAATATGTTTCACTGTAGCAAATTATGTAACAAAACAATTTTGTAACTAAACCTTTCAAATTGTGTACAAAGACAACGGCATATATAAAAATAATACAATTTTAGCACAAGATAGGCAGCAAAAAATCCGAAGATTGCGTCTGTAAACAGCCTTGGAAAGTCAAAACAATTAGGCAAGGTTATAAAGTTATAAACAGGCACGAAATATATTAGCATTCTTTCATTACAATTGAGCAAGGAACACATGTCATAAAATCTTCAAAGCATATTCGACCTCAACTAATTTACGGTTTGTAAATAAATATTTGACTAAAGCTACTCCGGAAGCCATTAATTATAAAAGCGACAACTCTACAAAGTTTCGTCAGATGAAATGCTATCAGTTTTCAACGTTACATGTAAAGACGGTCAAATATTTCAGACATTCCGACAGTCGATACATGATGAACTGAAGTCGGCCGACCAAAAATGCACCCCTGTCGAGCGAGCTTTATTTAGGTAATAAAGAACATACATTACAAAATTAATATAAGCTAGCCATATTTTTGTTTTGAAGCTATTCACATTGCTATACTTACTTGCATTTGACGCTTATTTCAACCTGAGTTGCTGGGATAGCATTTTGAATTCGACTACCAGCAGACGGGTCTTCGACAAGTTCGTTATATGCCGGTGGGGCAGTAGGATAATTGCCTGCCATTTCAAACGCCAAACTAAGCAGCCGTATAGGCTTTTAAATACTGCTTTTCATTAAATACATAACTGACTCATTACACGGCGTTTTATCCTCGCTTCGTTGCAAAACAATCGTCTGTAAATTGTGTTATATTTTGAATTTTTGTTGCTTTTTATACATAATCAATATTCGCACAGGAAGTCGGTATTTTTATTAGTTTCCAGTCTTTCTTCAGACGACCGCAAAATTCGAATTTGATTTGCGGTATTGGGAAAAACAAAACGCAACAAAAAGTTTGTGGCTACGTATAATAATTTGAAGATGAAAAAATGGATAACTTTTTACTGAGCTTCGTTTGTAATTAAGAGGGGCATGCAATTTTTCGGCCATGTTGTATTGTTGTGCGAAAAGAGATGACAAAAATTGAATTGAAACGATGAAATTGTCACATTCTTTACCGATTATTATAACATTGATTTCAATTATATCATGCTTTATCAGTTTGCGAACTTATTTTAAGAAAAAAACTTGCAATTTGCCGAGAATTGCTGTAATAAAACAGTCGGGTCAAACGAGAGTTAATGAGAGTTGTTAGTCTCGTTCGCACTATTTGACCGCCAAATCTCATCAACTCTCACGAATAAACTTTGTACTACACACGTAAAAATCTTACAACTTGTCAACCAGAGCTTGTCAACAAGATGTGGAATTCGCAACAGGCTTGTTAACAAGTCGTAACAATGTTGTTATTGTAAAAGTTGCTACAAGACTCTCACAAGATTGTCGCAGATGTCCGACGCGCGCATACATGCTCGTCACTCGTTTCGCATCTTTGACTTTGCAGAAATCAATGAAATAGCTCTGATTCCGCTAGTAACACCCCCATGCATTGATTTCCAGTGCTGCGTTTTCCACTATCCGTTTTTTTACGTACGGGCTCACGTTTAAAGGCTGATTTCCACTGTTGCGTTTTTCATACGTACGTATACGCACGTAAAACTTTAAATCCGTTTAAATGTTACTCATGAAATAACCAAATAAATAAAGTAACATAATTTAGTGCTCCGCAAGTTTTAGTATCAGCCTTAAAATACTCATTAATAATTCGTAAACCTTGTGAAAAATCATGTCAGCCATAATATGTCACGTGGAGTGACTTCATACCTCATAAAACACATCATTGTTCATCCTAATTAGTATGATTATATAATTGTTCATCCTAATTAGTATTCTTTTGTAGTCGTATTTTAAGCTATTCAAAACACCAGTTGTTGTATTTTATCAGATATACACTCCTACTCGGGTTTTAAATAGTACTTAAAGCGTATCAGCGCAAAATAATTATAAATACAGAATGGTCTTTATAAATGATCGGATTTTCCGTTGTAAACTAAGAGACTTTTAGTTTTAAGGTCTTTTAAAATTTTGATTTTCAATTTTTTCATGGGCAAATAAACGAAAAAGGTATGTTTAGTGTTTTATCTGAAAAATTATGCTAAAATGAAATGATTTTAGATTGTACGGCCAAGAAAATGATGTCTGAAGTTCAGTAAGTTACAACTAAATCATAGGCATAGCAAAATTTTATATACAGATGTTTCGACTTTATTTTGAAGCCCTCTGGCACACAACTGACTACAATAAACTATATCTACTCTCTTTATAAATACATAAACGTTTCGCCAAAGTTTATATTGTAAGTCTGAAAGTTACCAACGATATTAGCTAAGATTTTAAATTATGTACATAAATGATAAGGTATATGTATATGTGATTGGCTAAATATTTGTTAAGAATCAACTATAGAGTATAGAGTATAGTGGAATGAATAATCTTCGGAAATTGTTACGTGTCACAAGACTCGTATATAAGCGTCGCACTTGAGAGCCTGTTCGCAGGCTAGCGTCGCACTTACGCTTCGCCGCACTTATGTTTTCAACGCAAAGTAAGAAAAATTGGTTACTGAATTGCCACTAAATTACAAAAGAATATTTGCTAAACTATTAAAATTACATAATGGCGGTTTTTTACCATACGATTAGTTCATATTCAATAAACTTATGCCAACGTGACGTTCTCCTTGAAAGCTTAATCTCGAATGCTGCATAATTAAGTTATCCAAGAATAAAACATCGCCTTCCTGCCACTCAAATCCCACCGCATTCTCCCACTTGATCCGCCGTACTTCATTTAGACACTCTGTCTCGATTTCCCGTCCATCGCCGTACGTGCAATGGAACGGGTACTCCCTGTTTGGCAGTTGCAAATTCTGAAAGATTGGCATCGATTGTAAATACGAACAGTGACCTGCTGCCATTTGATTGAACCATAAGCGTTCCTCAGTTTTTGGGTGGTGTATGAAAGGCGGTCTGTTGTGCCACAGAACTAGATTATTGTCCTCGAGCCATTCGAAATTGTATACACCAGTATCTTTCAATTCCGATTCTATTTCAGATTTATCCTCAGTTCGAAAATGACCCTGCCAGCTTTTGTATGCAATGCTTGGATGACTACCCCTCGCATCTGGTAGGAATTTCCAGTATCGAAGTTGTTTTCTCTCACATTTTCCCATAAAACGTCGGTCAAGCTTTCTCAGAGTCTCACGGTTATCCACAATGGCCGTTTCCCCACCGCACGCCGATTTTCTGAACATGCACATGATAAATATATCTGGATACATCGACATATAAGCTCGCTCGTTGTGCGGTTCGATATTATAATCGCTAGGCTCCGAAGAGCCGCTTGTAACGAACTCGGCGATTCGTGGTGTCAGGCCGGTCGGTTCTACGTACTGCACCCTTTCGAAATCCAAACCATTCACCCAGTCTGAAAAGTCGCCAGGGCTTTCGATCGGCATACCACGAAAGAGAATTGCGACAGCAACGCCATGCTCTTCGTACCTTTTGTAAGCCATATCGATGATTGCCTTCGAGTACATGCCCCAAGTCGCTGCAGTGAACTGCTTTTCGTTGTTAGCTTTAAGGTACAAAGGAATATTCTCCCTCGGGTCGGCGAGGAACTCTGGAAATTTGGGGATTCGTGAGCTCGCGAGAAAATCTCGACCAGCCAGAGGAACCAATGCAGAAAGCTTCAATTCGTCTGGATAGCCAAGACAAAAATGCTCATCCCAGTTCACGACTTGAATAGGGCAAGCTTCAGACGATATTAATCGTGTAAAGTGCCTAGTTCCACGAAGCATAAGTCGAAGCATTTTCGTTTCGAAACCTTGAATACAATCAAGTGTTTGGGAGATACTAAGGTATATATATTATAAAGCCATAAACCCAGGAACTACCGGAATTACAGGATCTACAGGATTTTCAAGAAAAACACAAATCATGATAACTAAAGAATTATTATGACTTAAGTTGTTCCTAAAATCCTGTAGTTCCTGTAATTCCTGTACCCCAAAACATTGCATCAGCGTGTTATTTCGACCTATGGCTATATCATAACCGGAAAATATTCATTCAAAACAACCCGCTGGTGATTGGTTTTGGCTTCGTTTCAAAACATGAACCACGCAAAATTACTCATGAATGCTAAAAACTAAGAAACAATATATTGTATGTGTAAAGAACACCAATTAGTTCACTTTGCATATGTGCCGGGAATGGTTGGTTTACGCCCTGAACATTCACCACTGATCTGATTTGAGATAGACGTTCAAAAGTTCTTACTTTAGTTACCTACGGTAGATTTTATTCTAAGTGATAGCATGGCATTCAACCCGAAAGTCTGTTAATTAAATATTTAATTGAACATCAATAGGCAATACAGTATAAGAGGTTATGCACATGCATCAATAAATTCTGCTTTGACCTTGGTGTCTGTTAGATACGTTGGTTGTTTAGTAGACTTGCTCCAAGTCTCTCTTTATTGTCATATAGTATCGATCCACTATAGTGTACATTACATGACGTAGCACGGAGGGGCGGAGCGAGAAAGAGAGACTTGTCAACTTCGGAAAATCTCGGTTCAAAACTGAACCGAAAGTGCAAGACCTGCTTTAATTTCTGAATTTAATTTTTAAATTTCTGTCAGTGTTTATATGTATTGATCTAGCACAGTGTAAATAACATGAGTTCCATTATAGTAAATAATACAGAAAGAAATTGAAGGAGAACAATTAAAGAAAGTCTTGCATTTTCGGTTCAGTTTTGAACCGAGATTTTCCAAAGTTGACAAGTCTCTCTTTCTCGCCCCGCCTCTCCGTGCTACGTCATGTAATGTACACTATAGTGGATCGATATGACAATGAAAGAGAGACTTGGAGCAAGTCTAGTTGTTTAGTGGAGAGTGGGTGTTAATTAGATAATTTGCAGTAGCTTTCCTCATTAAAGCAAAACTGATCGGCAAGCCCACTTGACCTCGCAGGCATCACACATGTGGTTGGGTAGATTTGTATTTTTATATTAGCATACTATATAGAATATATATCGTCAAAAAATGCTAAAATATTGTATTAAATTGAGAAATAAGGTTGCTTAACACTACTTGCTTACCCCGAAAAGTCAATTACACATTCTAGCAATTAATCTTGATCCGAAACTGTGCCAGCCCCACGGCTGTTTAGACTGGTTGTGGGGCCTCGAGTTTCAACGCGTTTCAAATAATTCTTAATTTATTTTCAATCAATAACGAACGGTGCTAAATACAAACACAAATATACAGGAATTACACGGATAAATACGA